AATGTAAAAGACAATTCTCCTGCAAGTTCATGCCTGTGTGCTGGTGCTTGGGCCTCTGAGGTCTCTTCCTGTTCTTCTTCCTGTTCTGGAATCGTGTCCAGTTGGTGAACCTTCTGTTTTGGTCTTCTGGCCTTGGGGTTCACTGGTTCAATGAGTTCGAATACACTACGTCCTGTCCAGGATAAACCTCCTAGTGGTTCTGGGTCTCTGTGAGGCTCATCCAAAGTCCAGAACTTGTCATCCTCAAAGAAATCCTTATTGATCGGTTCTTCTCCATACGTGTACCTGTCTGGTTTGAGGTTTCCAATGTCTACTGGAATGTCATTGGTATCTCGAGGATTGAACAAAGTCTTCCTCAACGAGTTGTGGTACCTCGTGAGTGTAGTGCCATCCATGCTGATTGACCATGCATCCTCAGTGTACTCTTCAAACATCTTTCGATCTTCATCTTCCTTGGGGGTGCCTATGAGGTTCAGCGGAAATTCCTTGAGCGATACTAGCGTAAGCGTGCGGTACTCTTTGCTGCCATCGAAGATTGTTCCAAACGGTTCCTCAAGTTCCTCAAACATGATGCTGTGATGCAACAAATACCACTGATCATCATCCTCAATAAGCACTGCTCGATATGCGAACTTTCCTGGTGGAAACATCAAGTAAGTATCAACGTGTTCTGAGGTTCCTAAGCTGAAGTGGACTTGGTAAGGGTCTCGCCAGTTGGTCCAACCAACACGCTGTTCTTCAATGAGTTCCTTCAAGTTCTCGCACAAGTACATAGGGATAGGTTTTGCTTCTGCTTCCCAGTTGACTGCTCTCACAAAGGCTTTTGTTGTAAGTGAGTTGTTGTTGTAGTTCACTGCGATCTTGGTTGTTCCTTCTGTTAGGAAAGTGCCTGTTGCTGTTCCATCTCTGAACTCCCAGCCTTTCTTCAACAGTTTACCTACTGCCAAAAGAGGGTGCACAACCGATGAAATCAAGAACACTTCTTCAACCTTCACAATGTTTCCTTGAACATCCCGAAACTCAACCTCAATGATCCTTTGGTCTGAAACCTTGATCCGAGATCCTTGTGCATCTCGCAAAACTACCTTGGTAGTGTTGGGTGCCTTTCTTCCATACTTCTTCATCCACATCGGTGCCAACGAAATGTCGGCTCCTGAATCCAGCACGACCTCGATCTCTCGAGTTCTCGCGTTCCTTGCTGCACGCGCAAACCTGGTGATGGTCCTTGAGGGTGCTGTTCTCTCCACTCTGTTCCTTCTAGGAGGATGGTGACATCCGTTCTCACATTCCTGCATGTTTGGGTGCCACGGTGTTTCATGACATCCATTGGGACACTCAAAGTAGTATCCACGATCCTGAGTTCCTATCGGAGTTCCTGCTAGATGCCATTGCAACCATGTATCATCACTCACCTCATCACAGTCCTGAAACTCATCATCTTCATCACCAATCCAAAACTCTTCTGTCTCACTCCTCTCTTCCTGAACTTCTTCACCAACAACCCGCAAAACTCTTCCGAAGTACTCAATCTCTATCTCTTCAGAGTTCTCACTCAGTGCGAATTCCTCCGGAAAGCTTGTGGGCTCGTCTCCCATGTGGTACATGGAGACCATCCTAATCACTGGTCTTTGGGTTCCTTGGCTTGCTTGGCTTGTTGAGGTCTTGTTGGCTGACGAAGGGGCCTGAGTAGAAGTACCTGTAGTGCTCGCTTGCTCGCTCTGGTTTTCAAGGTCAACGTTCCTGGCCTGGTAACCCATGTCACGCATCTTCTGTCTGCACTGTGCTTCGAAATGTCCATACTTATGACAGTAGTGACACACTCCTGTAGCTGCTTGGGCTTTGCCTTTACCTTTTCCTTTGTGTCTGAAGAAACCTCTTCCTCGACCTTTGCCTTTTCCTTTGTAACCTCTTGAAACCTCTACCTCGGCCTTTCCAGTTGCCTCGACCTCTGCCTTTGCCAAAACCTCCGAAACCTTTACCTTTACCTTTGCCTTTGCTGTCAAAGCCGTAACCTTTTCCAAAGTCCTTTCCACCTTTCTTGCCTTTTCCTTTACCTTTGCCTTTATGGTGAACATAACCTTTGCCATAGCCTTTCTTTCCTTTGTACCATGCTTGGTTGATATCCATTGCTGCAAGACCACCATGGTCATCACCTTTGTCGATCAAGTCTGTTGTGGTTCGGTGAGGTGTTCCTTGCTGGGCTGCTAAAGAGTTAGTCCAACGCTCGGTTGACTCATAGTTCACAAGGTACTGACGAAGAGTATTGTACTGTGTCTTCTCATCCATGTTGAGCAACAAGTGCCTTTTCACGTCAGGTTTCATACCTTGAATAAGAGTAGATACTTTCAAATTCTCCTGTACCTTTTCTCCAGTAGCCTTCTCGTACTTCTCGATGTGTTCCTCATATTCGAGGATATTCTCAGCAATTCCTTTGTTGTGAGCGAATTTGTAGTTGAGAATGTTGTGAAACAACTCCAACGATCTCGCACGATTCGTTGGTTGATATTCCTTGAGTAGCATACGGTAAGCTTCCATACCGTTCTCCTCAGCTACATGCTTTACAACTCGGTACGGCCTTCCTTTAGTGTATGAACAAAGAACACTATACAGGCGTCTGCTTGTTTCCTTTGCTTCTGCAGACATCTCAGCCATCTTCACTTGCTTATCATCTTTTAAGTTCCTTTCGGCGATGTCCATGATCTTCACCATGTTGGAATCCACTGCTCCAAGCCAGATCCGCATCCTGTTCCTGAACTCTGTCCATCCACTCTTCTCTTCTTGCCATGTTCCTGGGGAAAATGCTTCGGGGCTTTTAATCATGTTTATGATTTCTCCATGTAGCATACCGTATTTGTGATCATTTGTTTTATCTGTGATGCACTCATTTTCACCTGAGCATGCGAATGACATGTCTATGATCCGCAGGCGTTCTTCAGAGTTGTAAAAGATTTTCATGGTAGCGGAGCTTGGGAAAGCCCAAGCTTCGAGACACGTCTCGGGTTTCCTTGTGGGTTGCACTGCGGCCTACGTTCGGGGAGCCCAGGCTTGGAACTCTCTCTCTGTTTTCAGGGTCCTTCGGTGAAATCTAGTAAGCGCGGCGGGTAGCTGCAGACACCGCCCTCCGAGCGGTCGCCATCTGCGTGCAAGACGGCCACCTGTGAAGGCCTTGCATTGCTTAAGGAGCGGTTGCATTCCTACTACGTAGAGCAGCTGTGTGAGCGTCCTAGGCCAGCCGGCCGTTCAGGAACTTCTTGGGACAGTATCCTTAGCACCTATAGGGTAAGCTTTGAGAATCACCTTGAAAGTTTGGACACTATTGAATCTGTGTGGCATTTCGCGGAAAAGTGCTTGAAGAAGGAGCATTTAAAGGAAGCCTTCAGATACTTTGGTTTTGAGGACGTATTTAACAGTGCTACACCGCAAGCCGTGCAAGCAGCGATTGTGTTTCCTGAGGAAGAGTGCGAGCGTGACATTGCATTCCAGGATCGCCGATTAGGAGTGTTTGAGCAAACCTTGATACCAGGGAGTGCGTCGATTGATTTGCAAGAGTGTTTTCAGTGTGCCTTGCAGCCTGCAGAAGAGCCGATTGATCTTGATTGAGCAGTCCTGTCTGAACAATGGCAAGTGGAAGTGCAGGTGTTGGAGCAAGTGCAAATTTGGACGATGATGATGATCCGGAGCTTGCTGAGGGCCCCCATGCACCCCAAGGGCCTCAAGCTTCGAGTAATCCGTTCAGCCCCTCGCGTGGAGGTGGCCAGGCTGTGCCGACGATGACAATCAGCCAAGATGATTTGGTGCTGATGATGAGACAGATGATGGAAGCGACGACTGCGGCGAGCACCGCAGCGCAAGCAGCGCTGGCAGCAGCCAGCACACAGCGCAAAGCAGGCTTAGGTGGAGGTGACATGGCCCGCTTGTTACCGAAGCCAGATGTGTTTAAGCCTGCGTCGAGAGAAGCTGAGCACGGCGAATGGTCGTCGTGGTTGTGGAGTTTGAAGCAGTACTTAAGTGCATTGGATCCAGCCTTCACTGATGAGATAAACTTCATAGAGCGCAGTCCGACCAAGGACTTGACGAGTGAAGCTTATGCTAGTGGTGAGGCTGAGCAGAGGTCCAAGCAACTGTTTGCATTGCTGTCGAGCTTAGTGAAGGGCCGAGGCCTTCAGCTGATCCAGAGGGTTCCAGTTCAGAATGGGTTCGAAGCACTACGCCAGCTGGTGCAGCTTTACCAACCTGCTTCGAAAACACGATCACTTGGAATCTTGAGTGCACTGACGAGCATGAGTCATTTTCGTGCAAACGAGCCCCTGCTGCCACAAGTTCTTGATATGGAAAGGATCATTGACGAGTACGAGCGCAGCAGTGGGAAGAAGCTCGACGATGATTTTAAGTCAAGCATTTTCTTGAGATCAGTGAGCAACAACATGAGAAACCATCTTGCAACGGTGTTGACTGAAGACGTAACGTATGACACCTTGAGGGAAACAGCCTTGCATTTTGAGCGTATGAATACCAAGTGGGATTCTAGAAATCTCTTTGCAGGGGATAGTCTGTTTTCCAAAAGCCGTGCAGCGAATGATGGTCCAGTGCCTATGGAAGTGGATGCGCTTCAGAAAAAGGGCAAGAAAGGCGATAAAGGCAAGCATGGCAAGGGCGGCAACCAGCAGCCCAAAGGAAAAGGCGGCAAGAACGACAAGGGCAAAGGCAAGGGCGACCAACAGCCCAAAGGAAAAGCTGGGAAAGGCGACAAAGGCAAAGGCAAGGGTGGCAAGACGGGTAAGAACAAGCAGAATGTTGTTTGCCACTCGTGCGGCAGAAAGGGTCACTATCAGAGTGAGTGTTGGTACCGCGTCCAGCAAGTCCAGAATGCCGGTAGTGATGCAGCCAGCACGGCTGCGCCCAGCTCAGTTGGGCCGTCTGCCTCGCAAGTTCAAGGTCCTAGTAGTGCCACTGCCAAGAGTGTGAATCGTGTGCAGCTTGATTCGTCTATCGAAGTCGACATGACCGAGGAAGAGCTGTCCATCCAGTATTTTGATGTGCCTGCAGGTGTTCGAGCAGTCAAGTGTGCAGGTGCCGGCGAGGAAAGATGTGTGGGAGGCCATGCAGCCCAGGGTTTGTTGAGCTTTGGTGACCTTGTGAAGGTCCTAGCCCTTAACCCGCACGGGTACCCTAAGCTTCCCAATCTTCAGCCGGTGACAACTGCTGTGTGCCATGATCTTGCTTGCACAGACGGTGATGGAGAGTGGACAGTCTGCCACGGCAAATCTCTTGATTTGCGATGTGCTGCACTTGATAATGCCAGCGAGCCTTGCCCTGAAGAGTTGCCCGACCTTGCAGAGGCTATCGAGGCCTTGGATGCAGCCACAGCAGCCAGAAGTTTGTGTGCAGTGCAGCGTTCCCGTGATGCAGGCACGCACCCGGAGCCAGTTGACATAGAGGTTGTTGTGGACTCAGGGTCCGACGCGTCGTGCCTCCCAATGAGTTGGGGTACGATCGGCAAATCCGGCGGTGCCGACTCCCAGTGGTACCGCGACGCGCAAGGAAACCGCATATCAGGCCGAGAGATGCGCACGGCCACGATTGAGATTGCTGGGGTGAAATTCCGTGAACACTGGTTGCTCTCGAGTGTTACCCAGCCTCTCTTCTGCGTTGGCAAGCTTATGAAACGAAACGGCTGGGACATCATCCATGATGCTGACAGGGTTCCGCACCTCACGAGCCCTGATGCTAGAGTTCGCGTCCCACTGTTTTACAAGAACTACAGCTTGCATGCAAAAGGTTTCATCCGAGGAGTCACGGCTTCCGAGGCCGAAGGTCAGCCAGGCATCAGAGCACTTGAAGTTTCAGGCCCATGGCTTGAGTTGTCTGAGGAATTTCACGAAGTTTCTCCTCTTGTGTATGCCCGGCGGGACTTCAGCGATTGCTTTGTTGATTGTTCGGTGGCATTGTCAGTGCCCCACCTGAGCCTCGGAGTGCAGTACCGCACAACGCTTGTGCAGGACGGTGCAAGTTGGAATGTCATTGAGTTGAATCAGGATTTGTCTTTGCTTGAACAGCCTGAAGCTGAGTTTGAGCCGAAGCAAACGCGGCATGTGATAACCATTGCTTCTTGTGACAAGATCGATGTTGATGTGCTGTTCAATCAGCGTGCAGCCGGCCCGCCAGAGGCCGAGCAAGATGCAAACATGTCCGAAGCAGGTCTTCCTGAGTTTCCTGCTGAGTCTCTTGATGAATTGCTTGAAGATGCGCCGGCCGGAGGGATTGGAGAGGTTGACCCAGGTGAAGCCCCCATCGGTGCCGACGGAAGTGCAGCGCCAGACAACTCAGAGCCCGCCAGAGGCCACATCGTTGTTGATGGAGTTGAGCTGCATGAAGGTTGCAATCTTAAGACATTGCGTGCTGCGTGCAAAGCTCTAGGCATAGGCCAGAGTGGCGGCAAAGCCACGGTGTTGTCGAGGATTGCCAGCCATCTTGACAAGCTTAAGTTGCTAGAACGGCACCAAGTCCAGCATGATTCGATTGCCTTGCAAAGTGAGCCGCGTCAGCAAGCACCTGTAGCTGCACCGACGCCCGAGCAAATCAGATTGCACTGCCTAAATCACATCCCGTACCAGCCGTGGTGTGAGCACTGCATCAAGTTCCAGGCCCGTGCTGACAAGCACACCCAAGCCAGGGCTGAGACTAGACAGTGCAGCGTGTGTTCGTTTGATTACTGCTTCACTGAGAGGCCTGATGGCGAGCGTGGTGAAAAGCTCATTTGCTTAATTGCTAAGGATGCCCACACCGGTGCCTGTGCTGCCATCCCTACACCTGCCAAAGGAGGTTCGGTAGCTTTTCGGTTTTTAGTTGCCGAGCTTTGCAAGTTCATCAGCTTTTGTGGCCATTCCGAAGTCACTCTGCGATCTGACGGCGAGCCTACTTGCCGAGCGTTGCAACAGGGTGTAAAGGACTTCAGGGATAAACTTAAGCTTGTTACGCATCTTGAGCAAGTTGAAAAAGACAGCCATGAAGGCAATCCAGCCGAACAGGCAGTTGAGCAGCTGAGACAGTTGACCGGGACACTTTTGTCCCAGGTCGAGCATGAAATGGGCCAGAAAATTTCAACGATGTCTCCGGTCCACGCGTGGGCTTGGAAGCATGCAGCATGGTTACACACCAGGTATGCGCGGACTGAAGCGCACAGCCCCTTCGAGATCATCACTGGCAGGCCATACCTGGGAAAACTAGTGAATTTCTGCGAAGTTGTCTATGCCAGAGTGAAGTCTTCGATCAAAGGAAAGGCCCGATGGGTCAAGATGATTTCGCTTGGAAAGCTTGGAATTTCAGATTTGCATTTTGGGGCCACACAGGGAGGTTTTCTGATTTCCAGCAGGAGTGTCCGGCGGCTGCCCAAACAATTTGACCCGAGTTTTCTTGAGTATGTCCACGACATGCCTTGGACACAAGCCTCGTTCCTGGCGGGGCAGTCAGGGCAGTCCAGACTTCAGAAGTCGATTGCAGGCAAGAGCGAAGAAGCAGCAGACCAAGCCAAGTTGCCAGAGGTCGTTGCCAATGATGGGCCGAGGCCCATGCTGCGTCCAGAGCCTCTTGTGCCAGATGACACTGCTTTGTCTGCATTTCTTCCGCCACCTCCACTGCTGATTTCGCCAGAGCCTCCGACCCCTTCGCGAGTGAATCCTGCGCTTGGCCGAGCCGTTGGACCTGCAACGCCGGCCGACATGCTTCCTGCATTGTCACCTGTTCCGCAGTCTCCAGCGCCGATGCTGGTTGAGGACAGTGCAAGCGCTGGCGGGGATGCGCCCGTACCACCTGCTGCTGCGAGCAGCAGCGATGGATCTGCTATGATCGGCGGAACAGTTCGCCCAGCTCCTGTGCAGGCCGAGCCACCGGCCAGAAAGCGACTCAGGCTAGATGCTGTTCAGACAGACGCAAGTGGAAATCAGTTGTTTCATCAAGATGAAGACGTGATCCTTGAAGATGAGGTAGCCGAAGAATATCTTGAATGCACCGATGCAGCTGATTGGGTTGAGTATGAAAGTGAAGCCGAGCTTGAGGTGCCATCTTGTTTGATTAGGCCATTTTCTGAAAGTGAGCCAATTTGCAGCCCTGCAGAACTTGATGAGATAGATGCTGTAGCAGACGAATTTGAGTTTCAGCGGCTGTCGGGAATTGGGGTCATTAGTGAAGTGCCAAATCGACTTGAAGGCCACAGGACGCTTACGACCAAAAGCGTGCGCACATGGAGGCCAAAGGTCTACAAAGGATCGAAAGTTTGGCTGAGGCGTTCTCGCCTCGTGGCACGGGAGTATGCACACTTAGATCCCGATAGGCCTGGGTTGTTTTGCCCGACAACGAACCAGATAATGCTGCGTGTGATTCCAGCGCTCTTCTTGAGACGCCGTGAGGAAGGCTGGTCGATGCTAGCGCTCGATGTAAGCGATGCTTTTCTCCAGTGCAGCCAGCAGCACCCGACCGTCACCCGGATAGGTGATAAATGGTTCAAGTTGTGGCGGATGCTCCCAGGGCAACGGGACGGAAGTGTGACATGGTACAATGATTTTACGAATGAAATGAAAGTTGCTGTCGGAGCCGAATTGCTTCCCGAAAGCCCCGCACTGTTCAGGCTGCCCAGTGGAGCAGGCGGAGGCTACGTGCATGTGGACGACATGCTGGCCGCTGGCCAGACCGAAAGGTTGCAGGTTCTTGAAAGTCACTTGAAATCAAAGTTTAAGGTGTCTAGCGAGTGGATTGAACACATAGGGGATCAAGTATCTTTCTTGAAAAGGCGCCACATTTTGGTAAGCCCCACTTTGCTAGTGATAGAGCCTGACATCAAATACCTTGATCGCCTCATGCAAGTGACTGGGTTGGCAAATGCAAAAGAAAGGTTCAAAGCAGCTCCGTTCCCGACCGGAGGTTTGCCCACCGAGCTCGCATCTGATCGTGAGTTAGATGCAGCCACTGCCAGCCGGTATCGTTCAGGTGTCGGTATCCTCGCTTATATGTCCTCAGACCTTGTGGCTTGTCAATTTGCGATTCGATACCTGACTACATATTCTCACTCGCCCACTGAAGGATCGTGGAAGTTGTTGCGGCACGTTGCATCGTACATCAATTGCCACCGCAACCATGTGATCGGGCTCTCAAAGCCTGTGTCCGGCAAGGGCCTTATCTGCGACAGGTCCCGCGAGGAGAATGCCACCGTGCTTGAAGTTTGTTCAGACTCCGACTGGAGCGGCTGCAAGAAGACAAGGAAGTCAGTGAGCTCTTGCGCGATTCTCTGGGATAACATGCTGCTATATGCACATAGCAAAACCCAGAAAACCATCAGCTTGAGCAGCGCCGAAGCGGAATACAATTCCCTTGTGTCCGCGGCAGCAGAAGGTATTTTCTTGTCGGCATGCATCCGATTCCTTCTTCCTGATTACACACTTGAGCAGATTTGCCTTGTTGATAATTCGGCGTGTCGAGCCCTGGCGTGCCGACAGGGAGTTGGGAAAATGCGCCACATCAGTGGCAAGCTTCTTTGGCTTCAGCAAATGACGAAGGACAATGTGCTGTCCGTAGGGCCGGTCCCTACAGCTGAAAACGTGTCGGACCTCGGCACAAAGCCACTGAAGGCAGAGCGAATTGAAAAGCTGCTAGGCATGATTGGAATCAGATGTGCAGACAACAACTATGCTGTGGTTGGGGAGTCCTATCTCCTCTCAGGAAAGGACAGACTGCATGTCTCCCGAGTCGTCAAGCAAGGAGGGCTCAGTGCCCAGCAAATCATCCAAGTTCTAGCCATGCTTCTCCAAGTTGATCGCGTTGCAAGTTCGAACGATGAGCCCAATACGCAGAATGCCGAGGACGCCTTGAGCCAGGACGACGACAACCTTGGAGTGTTTGCACAGATTCTTGAATGGTTTGTGTACATGTGTTACCTTGTGCACGATTTTGCACTTGAGCATCCGACCGGGATTATGCTGATCGTACAACTGCTGATCTTGATTATGTTGTGTTGCACACTGACAAGTCGCAATCGCGTTGCAGTGTTGAGGCAGCAAGCTGAGAATGATCAAGGCAGTGCGGCAAGCAGCAACACACCCACGCCGAGTGTTGCCGTGCATGTGAAGGTTGAGGGTTCTACGGTTTCGCTAGCTAGTCCCGAACCTGCCGAAAACCCTAAGCTTAGCAAGCCCACTGCAGAAACTGCCACCAGTGCGTCCAGCAGCGCAGCAGCGCGTGCTGATGATCATGATGCTCCAGACCCCAGTGCAAGCTCTTCGAGTGCCGGTGCGATGCCGAAAGCAACGTCTTTCCCGCCTCCGAGGCACGTTATCGATGAGTGGAGGGCTGAGCAACTTGTATGGGTTACCAAATCCAGAGGCAAGTCATATCATCACAGGCGGACATGTGGAACGCTTGGGAACGCAAAGGCACTTGAAAGGATCAGCAGGCAAGAAGCCATCAATCGAGGCTTCAAGAAGTGCAAATGCTGTTACGGCAGTACTTGATAATGCTCTTGATGCGCCAATCCTTGGGTTCATTGCTTTGGCACTGAGCCGATCGGTTGGATCTTGTACAAAGGCCGCGGAACGACTGTACATAGACTTGTTGAGCACAACTCGTCTCCACCATTTTGGTGGCAATACCGCATCGACTTACCAACCACTGAGCCAGCTGTGGAGCAGCTGGGAGTCTTCATAGGTAGGCACTGTGCCACCTGATGCATATAGGCATCGCAATCCTTGTGTGCGGATTCCATAGGAATGCCAAAGTCTTGATGGGGCAGCTGCGAGCTGCATGCAACCCACTTGAATGATCCTTGTGTTACTTGTACGCCGAGCGCAAAACTTGAACCTTGGAAACGCCTTCGCTTGGGTGAGTCAAGCTTATCACTTCGTCGGCTGCGCCTAGCCTTCGGAAGTGATGTAACTAGTCGTAGATGTACAGTGCTACGTAGCAGTTGTAGTGAGCCAACGACCCATTGAGGCAGAGCTCGAGAACGCGTAAACTTTCTCATGAGTGCAGTCGTGAACTAGTTGTGTATTTGTTTGAGCAACGGAGAATCATAGTACAGAAACCCATGCCGAGGCCATGAGAGTCTGTAGGCGGGGTGTTTATGATTTCTCCATGTAGCATACCGTATTTGTGATCATTTGTTTTATCTGTGATGCACTCATTTTCACCTGAGCATGCGAATGACATGTCTATGATCCGCAGGCGTTCTTCAGAGTTGTAAAAGATTTTCAAATCAGCTTGTGCAACTCCACTTCTCCAGGCTTTCTTTGTTCCTTTACTGCTTTCTCCAGAGATGCTCCTATCTCCTCAAGTGTCGTTGCTGCGTTCGTGTGGGCGTCTGCCAACGCTGTTTGTGCTGTCTTCTGCTGTTCCTGAACTGCTGTCAGGGTTTCCTGGAATGCTTGTGTAAGTCCTGCTTCTCTTTGACTTCCTGAAGCTGCTGAGTTCCTGATCTCCTCTGCTAGTGTTTGTATTCCTTGTAAGGTCTGTGCATTGATCTCGGCAAGTGCCTTCAATGCATCCTCCATTCCTTTTGCTGTTTCAAGGTTGCTGTACACTAGTGCTGCTAAAAGTAGCGACTTGCACTGTTTCCTGCACACTGCTTGTGCTCTCCTTTCTCCTCTTGTCTTCCTTTGGTGCTTTGAGCGGTTGCTTGCTCTTGCGAAAAACACACTAGAATAGTACGACAGGGTGATCCAAGTAATCAGTCCCATTGGGGTTCCTAAGAACACTGCTATGCGAATTCCTTGAAATACAACTCTGTTGGAAATGACTTCCTGAACTATCACATGCACGACGTCGTGAAACTTCTTTCCTACAGTTGCTAGCTTTTCTACGAAACTGCGAACATGTTCCTGTACAAATTTCCTCAGTACTTCTCGCTGTTGTTTTACTAGGTACCTAGGGGCGTAGCCTGACTCAAGGCTCTCACTCTCCTGGTTCTCGGTGTTCTGGTTGCCGTTCCTGTTCTCTTCCGTGTAGTACTCGCCGGTCACGCTAACGACGCTGTAGAGCTCGTTCATCACTTGGTTCATGCACAACAAAGCGTACGGTACCATGACTTTTCCTATCTCCACATAGTCCTTAATCGTGTACGCGTTCGTGTTCCTGATCGTGTTCACGTTGGTGCCGTCGGGGTTCACGCTGCACTCGTTGTAGCCTTGCTGGTAGTACTCGCCGTACACGTCGTAGTTCCTGTAGCGGTTCCGGTGCGTATTGGGCTTCCTTCTGCTCGACCACACTGCCATGAGCTCGCTCTCGTCGCTCTCCACGTAAGTAAGTTCCTTTCTCCCACGGCTCGCATCCTTGGAGGGTAAGACGTCTCCAAGGGCAAGTTCTTCCTTGGTCTCCTCGTTGTTGCCAAGGGCCTGCCACGGTCTCACCGCCATACTTCTTGCTCCTGGGACCAAGATCATCCCGCACAAAGTTGCGAGGCTTCCCAGTGCGAAACCAACCAGCAGCACCATACATGCTGCCAAACCGTAGCACTTCATGTTCCTTTTCTCTCTCTCTTCCACCAACACTCGGTCGGGGTAGCAATCGCTGCAAGCGTCAAAGTCTCGCGCGTTTCCTGCTGTCACGTTGTGGTTGCGAAGGTGTCCACAACCTCTGCGGTGGTACTTTGTTCCTGAACGGACTGCGATCCTGAGCGTGGGCATGTTGAGCACTGTCTCCGTCTTCTTGGTGATCTGCTCATTTGCGCGCATCTGCTTCCATCCGGCAACGAGGCAAACTGCCATGGCGCCGAGCATCATGGTTCCTATGGCTACGAGTAGCATCATCGCTGCCAAGGAGGTTCCTGGAGGCAGCTCCGCTACCATGTTAAAGAACGGGCTTCACTAAGGGTTCCTACCCACAAAGACTGTCGGACACTTTTGTTCCTGAGCACGGTGTGTCCTGGGGTCTCGAGCCTGCACGTCGCGTGTGCGTGACGGCTGTTCCTGTACATTAACTGTACTGCACTAGCTGTGTTACTGTTCCTGGCAGAATGTTTAACACAACTGCAAGGGGCAGGTTAGGCCAACCAAATGCAGGGGCAATGCACCTCAACGCAGGAATTCAGAATATGTTTGGGTGTTGTGAATGTTGTGAATCACGAGTAGTTGCCATCCCTATGAGGTGAGACTTCATGGGCCTGACTGTGCTGCCCAAGCTTTTTTGCCTGCCTTGCGCTTCTTATGTCGCCAGGCATTCCTGCTCGCGTGGGACTTCACAGTGTCCTGGGAGCTTGGCATCTCGGCTGAGGCCGTGGAGTCGGGGCCTTTTGTAACAGTAGACAGTGGACAGTGCACAGGGGACACGGTCGTAGTAGTAGTAGTCGTACTAGCACTTGGCGAAGGAGGCGCGATAGGTTCTGGGTCTTGCTTTGGTGACATGGCTTCTGGATCATCGCTCGGCATAGCAAAGCATACTGCAACTGATGCATGCTGAAGGGCCTCCGCCACGTCTTCCTCGTTTGCATGGCAGTAGTGCCGCCTGAAGGTTCCCACGTCGAGCCGCTGCTGGATTTCCATGATGACATGCTCAGAGGCGCGTTGACCGCCCTCTGGGGTTGCAAGCAACAAGGCAGATGCAGTGTGTCTAGTAGCTCCATGCACTGTCACATGTGAGCCTTTGAATTTCACATTCCAACGTCTGCGGCCGGTGAGTGCAAACATCACTTTCGCGACATGGGTCACTGCTTTCCACACTGTTTGCCTGGCCATCCACGGTTGCTTTGCTTTTTTGGTTTGAGCTGGGAATATGTACCTGCTGCCAATGGGCCAGCAGAAGGCTTTGGACGAGCGTGGCGGAAAGTCTTGAAACACGCCTGGGTGGGACTTCCTGAAGGGCTCAAGTGGGGGCAGCACACATCTCTGCACACCTTTGTCCATCACCTCCCTGAGTGTGCTGACAACATCAGGAGCAAGACGAGCAGCGATGCAGTCAGCCCCAAGTTTGCCCATTCCTTGGAAGTCTTTGTTGTCTTCCCGCTTTTGGAACAAGATGTGAGGAGCATCTTGCATGTGCCCTCCATCCAGGAAAACATCCGAACCTCGAAGTTGCAATGCCTCAGAAATTCGACGGGAGGTAACCATCGTGATCCATAATGCCATGACATACCGTGGCCCGGCAAAGTAAAGGCTCACTGCCAGGAACAGCAAAAGGTCTTCCCTGGGAACGAACAAATGCTGGAGGTCTGTCTTCGACAGCTTTTTACCTTTGTTCCATGGCTTGCGCTTGGCTTCTTGCACAGTGGACTGTGTCTTCGACCTTCTTTTCTGCAACTTGCCCTTTGCGTCTGGCACAGTGGACAGTGAACTGCAGGACAGTGAACTGGTTAGTCTTTTTCTGGGTGCCATGGGGTCTGGTGAAACACTACTACTGGATACTCTAATGTTGCCTTGAGCCAGGAGCTTCTGTTGCGTTGCACTTGGAGGGATGATGTCACACTGTTCGCTGTTCACTGTGAAAACCATTTGCCTTCAGACCCGAGCCCTACAATAACTATGCAACATCACATGAATGCTCCCCTGGCAGGTCCGAAAGCCAAGCTGCTGTCCACTGTTCACTGTTCAGCTGTCCACTGTTGACTGTTCACTGTCCTCGCCTGCAGCAGCGGCGCCGCGGCATTGGCTCCACGGCAAGGCCGGGTAAAGTGTCATCCCTAAACCCCCAAAATGCATGCATCAGCTTGCACTGTCTGCCTGCTTTGCTGCATGTTCACACAGATTCAGATGAACTTTGCAGTGCTACCTTGCCGCCGGTGTTTAAATTCGACAAGACCACTGTGCCCTGTTCCCACTGTCCCTTGTTGACTGTACATATTTTGTTGTGTGCCTGAAGCAATGGCTGACACGGGTTCGGCGGCTGGATCCACGATTTCGACTGACGGCTTTGAGGCAAGGCAAGGGCACTTCTCTGTTTGAGCTGAGTATTGAATGCACTGCTTTAAATAGCCCAGACCCCAGCCTGTGCTGCAGGAAGTCAATTTCCAAGATGTTTATGAAGAAGCGGAGAAGACGAAGGGCGACAAGAAGGACGCTACGCCTGCCGTGGTGCCTGCGGGGGTCCCTGATGACGGGACGGTGACAGAAGCACGGCAGCAGCTTCAGCGATCCATTTTGTCGCCGACGTCAGAAGCCGACACGGAGGAGGAGGAGGCCCCGAAGCCCGTGCTTCAGCTCTCGGCCAAGCCGAAAGAGCCTGCAGAGCCCGCCACGCCAACAGAGAAGACGGAGTCGGCGCCAGCAAGTTCTGGGTCGATGGAATCGGAGACGGCAACGAAGTCTCCCAAGGTGGCAGGGGCCGAGCCCAAGTCTCCCAAGGTGGCAGGGGCCGAGCCCAAGTCAAAGGCCAGACCGGGCAAGAAGAGGTCCGCTGCGACCGGGCCCGGGTCGACCGATGATTCGGCTTCCGCCAGTGCGACGCCCCCTGTCCACTGTCCACCGTCGCCTGTCCTCCATTGCCAAGGCCCGAGCTACGAGGAGCCTCGCCAGCATTCCGAATTCTG